ATCGTCGAGGAGTTTTACTATAGCCTCGTAACCCAATTCTTCCACCTTGTTGGGTAACGCCAAGTCCGTTGCGAGTTTAAACGTAGATTCACATAATGACGTCAATAAAATCGCCCTTTGTTTGATTGTCGCTTTGTCCGTTTCCGATGTTATGTCGTTAGCGATAAACCATTGATTCAATCGCAACTTATAACTATTCCAGTCTTGAGACAGGTGATCAAATGTAGAAAGCACGCCGTATGTCGTTCCGGTAGACATATTTGTGAAAATAATGCGGGTCCACTCGTCGCCACGTGTTAAGTATCTCCTTGTAAGGGAACGATGCGCACGCCAATTAAACTCGCTAGTTAGTTGCACACTGGTTTATTTTATCTAAACTTCATAGCGGAGCGGGGAAGCGGGGCGCAGCCCGCATTCTACCTTTGCATCTATACATACATACATAACAGTTAACTATATCTGATTGAATCGTTCCGTAATATAAACTATAGCGTCTCATTATTGGTGTTACCGGCAGGCCAAAACACCAATGTTTGGTATAGTATACATTGCGGTATTTGTAGAGAGTTTGTTGGTTCAATAGTGGATAAAAGCGGTCTTGGATATTGCTTAGTGTTGGTCAGCCAACATTGGAAACGCTGGTTGGATCTCCAAGAGACGTTGCGTGCCGGCTTCTTAGTACGGTTTGAAACCTCGAAGACGGTGCTTGTATAGTTCGTCGCGGAATAATTCGTTTGATTTATCGTATTTTTACGACGGAACAAAATGAATTTCGAAATGTAACGCGCTAACACTGTTACCGAGTTCAATTTGTGCTTAGTTTTGTGTGAAAATGATTGAAGTAATCGGTAATGTGTGAATTTATATTTCTTACGTATTATTTTTGTATGGAAACGTTGGGAAATATTACTTTGACATTTTATAAGTAAAATTAATTGCGGAATCCAGTAACGGTTTTTGTCCTGTATTATATTGTGCCTGGCTACAGGTCTTTTCTTTGGTTTTTTAAAGTACTTACTAACTTACTCTCTGAAAAACAAAATTATTAAATAATCTAATTCCTCATCATGGTTTTGTGTGGTAACTAACGCAATTTCGAATAGTAAACATGTATTTCCAATATTCATATGTATTTACCAATAATTGAGCGTCCTGAACTTGTATAAAAACTACTCCTCATCAATTTAATAGACGATAATACCTATGTAGCTATGTGTAGTCTATCTTACATAATTATGGCAGAAAAAATCTTGATTAATTCCAAATGATCAACCATTGTAATAGGTAGACGGTGCAAAAAAAATCAGTTCTATTTTTTATCAATCGTGGCCATTCGCGGCATTTCTATAATCATTCATCACAAATGTTTATGGGTCTGCAGATTATTTATTGAGGTAAAGTCAAGGAAATCCCAATAAGTATTTACATAATATTAAACCTCTTGTTTTAAGAAGCCTTGTAGTGACGACGGTAGAGTTTTTTTTAAGGGGGGAAAATCAAAAATCATCGAATGACTGCTCACCGCCTGGGTGAGGCGGGAGGGAGTGTCAGACTCTTACTGACTAAAAACCACCCCGTTCCTTCTCCTGCACGTCGAGCTGGAGCCCCGGTTACGACGGTAGAGTAGAATACTATTGTGACCATCACCATTACCACCTCTGCTCTCGTAAGGGGACTGAGGGACTACACATTGGAGTAGGGCAGCAGCGCTTTGATAAGTCTGATGCCCGAATACTGAAAGGCTACTTAATTTTAGTTGTACTTAAATATCGTGCCATCCAATGCCAATAATTTTACAAAGAATAGGGTAGGTAGATGTCTAATTTTTATTTTAATGTCCGTCTGGTAGATTGTTTTAAATCATTTGACATGTATTTTTTATTTTCTTACAGAAACGAATACTTTCGACGATATATTGATTTGAAATTCGCGTGACGTCACTTCTATTGTACATTTTATACGTAGAAATGACGTTTTAGCCCCCACTCCTAAATTTGATTCGTTTTATCTAAGTATTGTTTTATTATATGACAAAATAAAAAAATACGTGTCTAATATTTTTTCATTACCTAACTTACGAACTAATTAGATTTTTAATTTTCATACCCTGTCATCATCATCATCATCATCAGAACTGTACCTACTTAAGCACGTTTTAAAATTGAATGGCGTTTAATTATTTGAACATGAATCTTTTACCCTGTGAACTCCAACGTGCCTGCCAAATGTGGACATGACTTTCTTATACCTCTATAGGGTATAGTTCCAATATGGTCAAAAACAAGTTTCATTTCACTAAAGTAAGAAATTAAGTGTTTTATGTATTAAAAGTTCAAGGCCGATATTGTATGAATAACACGAAAACAAAAACGGTTAAAATTGAGAAAACTTTTTTTTTTGTCAGCGTTTTTCGGGAGTTCTCGGTTTACAGTATAGAAGAACCTTTATGTGATCTGTCACGGGCAGTTCATGTTGTTTGACGAGTTGAATCAATAACCTCTATCTGCATAATATAATGTACTATACGACCCGCCCCAGTTTCGCACGGGTGCAATATACATGTATTATACATATAACCATTCCTTAAACTGTCAAACGCCAAGCGGTCACCGGTGACCGCAACCTATTGTTCTTTAATTGTGTCTATAATGACGGTACTCAACGAGTTAAGAATCACTCTATCTATTAAAAAAAACACATCAGAATCCGTTCCGTAATTTTAAAGATCTAAGCATACATAGGGACAGACAGGCGGTGGATGGCGACTTTGTTTTATACTATGTAGCGATAGTGATTTGAAACATTAGGTACCTACATAAATAACCTACATAGATGCCAACGTTTGAAATTGCTAACGTAATTTATTTTTTGTCGTGGATTTCTTTTTTGTTCTTAAAGCAATTGACTTTGATCATCTCAGCTCTGTTGTACCTATTAAATAAATTATATATTTTAGATTATATAAAGACGATAATTAGGTAAGGTTTAGGATTTTAGACAAAGAGGTTACCTATGTTGTCAATTCGGGGTTTGTGCCGCGGCCCCGACTCGAAGTAGGAGTAAGAGTCTAACACTCCTTATCGCCTCACTCAGGGCGGAACGAGTTATGTTATGATTTTCCATCCACAAAAAAGTTAAATCAAGCAATAGCATATAGTAATGCAGTATTTAACCAGCTACCCTCTTTAGAAGTCGCGGAGAACCTAACGGGTTGCCGGGGCTCCGTCTCAACGTGCAGGAGAAGGATTGGGGTGGTTTTTAGTCAGTAAGAGTCTGACACTCCCTCCCGCTTCACCCGGGCGGGAGCAGTCATTCGATGATTTTCCCCTCTTAAAAAAAACCCCCTTTAGAAAAGAGGTTATCTTAGGCCGGAGACCTTGCCAGATGACTTGGGGATTGTAGTAAGGTCACCTAAAAATTAAAACCTGCTACAACGCAGGCACGTACACCCTTTGGTGGCTGGTCGCCGGCGTATGTCCTCAAACTCCTAAAGCCTAATATTAACCCGCCCAGCGTTTGACCCCCTAGAAAACGTAGGTACTGTGTTATGCGACGTTGGCGTATAAGACACTCGATGGGTTAATGGGAACCGAAAACAGAAATAAGAACCTACGTAATATTCTGCATAGGTTTCAAAATAGGATGTTTCTCGATTCGACCATATTTTTTGGTTACTGTAGCTAATAGTTTAGAAATGATTTACTTACATATTTAGAGTGCGTACATTTATATGGAATTGTTATCTCAACAGGTCTTTAGTAATCACGTCACGTGCCACTCTTATTTTCATTATTGTTAATGGCCAAGGACATTGCGGTTTGCGGCTAGTTTTTCTAAATAGGTATTTATTTACGGTATTCGAACTCACATACACATGTAGCCATGTACAATGTACATCCACTTACATACGTACCGTGGAAATTTCGATTTAGTTACTCGTGCATTGAGGAAATAGAGGTCATTACATAGAAGTTGAAGACCTAGTATTTTTGTTGTTTTTTGCGGCAGTTTTGAATTCCAGGTGAATTATTATTGAATGATTGTCTAAACACACTCAACTAACATTAGTATGTTATGATAACCTGGTCATTGTCAGGGTAAGTTTCAGTTCCAGACAGCTTGGTTATAAAAATAGATTCTCCAGTCCAGCTAGGCTATTCCGCAAGATGTCAATTCAAACTCTCGAAGTGAGATCGATCGAGGTCCGCCATGTTATTGGTTGTGAGAATGATCTCGACCAATGACGGACGTGAATGCGATTGAGCTCACTTCGAAGTGACATCTTACAGAATAGCTTAGCAGGACCTTATGTGTATTTTATTTATAGGTTGATGATTGTAAATTTCGACCACAAAATAATCGAGACAATCTAATCACAAGTTACTGCAAAATTTAATATAACTGGATAGAATAAAAATAAGGTCTACATAATAGTATTATAATATCTACATATATATTATGTTTACTATAGAATTGCCAGTCATATTATACACAGCTTTAAGATTTATTTAATTTACATTAGAGTACTGCAATGTTTATAGAGATTATAAAATTAAATTATAAAGATAGTAAATCCGTTTACTTTTCAACATTTTTTATTTACCTCTTAAACTATTTGAGTTGTGATAAAAGGTTCATAGCCTTCTTGCTTTCTTATCGTGACTAGACAAATGACTAACTAATAAGCTATGTGCTCCTAATACCAGACAGCAGAAATTGACGGTCAACTTTACTTATGACCTTTATCATGTTTAAAGAAATCATTAAATATTTTTTGTAACGCATTATTTATTTATTCATTATTAGGTACATAATTAGATTAAGATATCACAGGACATATGGGTATTATTTTCACTAGCCTTTGTCATTTTTTTATGGTTTAGGAAGCAAACGAGCAGACGGATCACCTGATGGTAAGCGATCAGCGCCGCCCATAGATACCCGCATAATTAATGTCATAATTTTATTCGGTACGTTTAATTTTGTGTTTCTTTCTTCAGGAAATGCCCAAGCGACAAGCAGACTACGGCGAATAGCCATCAAGCTATGCAGTACAGAGTCATGGAAGAGAAGGCTACCCATCACAATATGGCTGCCCAAATACAGCTTCGAATATTTACTACGAGACGCCATAGCAGGTAATAATATGTCTATTATAAACCTCTTTTATGTTTCTGGTACCCTGGTAGCTGAAATTAAGATAATGCAATGAATTTAGCGTTGTACGCTAAATTCAAATACTAGGTCATTATTTCTTTTGGAAAGTAACACAAACATACCAATTAATGTTTTGTTTAATTAATGTGTATCGCTCAACAAGGTACATTAAAAATATTTTGGGTTGCAAATGTTATTGTAATTCGACAAAGATGGGTTATCAAGTAGTTAGTTGGTAGCTGCAATGAATACCTTATTCGTTGGTAAATACAGCTTTCTTTGTAATTGCATTTTGTTGGCAATATACACCCGGATTCGTTTTAATTCTAACACAGGCATTGTTAGTTCCTATTGTGAGCTATAGTATAAATCAGTCACTAAAGAAATATTGCGCTATAACTAGAATATGCAATGAACATGTGAATCCTTTTAAGAAAAGCACTTTAGTAGGAAAATACGCGAAAAACCTGATTGAGGATTTTGCACAAGGACAAACGAGTTCTTAATAACATGGTAGGTATATAGGTCCTTGCCTCTATACCCAATTCAGTGGAGTTCGGTCGCCTGACCGACAATTGAACCGGTTGAGTAATGACGTAACGTTCGATAACCAGTGTGTATGCGTAATGTTTCCGTTTCTATTATCATAATATTTAATTATTTTTGCTTGTATATCCGATAAATATGAAAAATTACCTAATTTACATAAGTAGTGCACACTGCAAAAATGCACTTTAAAAAAGACTTTAAGTGTGGGAGAACCATGCTTCGGCACGAATGGGCCGGCTCGACCGGAGTGATACCACGGCCTCACAGAATACCGACGTGAAGCAACGCTTGCGTTGTGTTTCGTCGTGTGACTGAGGTTACCGGAGGCCCAATTACTCTCCCCTTCCCCAATCTCCCCACCCCTGAATCCCCAACGACCCTCAAACTCCTAATGCCCAAAAAGCCGGTAACACACTTGTAACGCCTCTGGTGTTGCCCAGGTGTCCATGGGCGACGCCGATTGGTTACCATCAGGTGATCTGTCTGCTCGCTTTCCGGCTTATGCCATAAAAAAGTCTTTTATAATTATTAGATATCTGTCATATGATAGTTATCATCAAATGGGATGAGAGTTTATTAATGAACTCTGTGATTATAAGTCGTTATTAAAATTAAACTCCAGTCTCTATAATGAACTCATTCACTCAGACATCAATCAGCAATTCAATAAAATGCTTTCATTTTCATTCAGATAAATCTTGCTCGTGTGGTGTACTAGGGTCACAGAAGTTCGGACAAGTATTTGAACTTCATTTTAGGTTAGTGAGAAAATAATAAACACATTAACTCGAAGTGCCAACTAATAACCATAATATCCTGCGCGTTTAGAATTTTAATTGCCTGTTTGTGACGTCGAATGTAAACTGCATGAACATCCACTGACTGGGTGTAAACTAAGCACGTCTGGGATTTATAGATAATCTGTGAATACAATAAATGTTATCTTATCTTCCCACGGAGTTGTGAAAACAAAGGAATTTAATTAAAATCCGCCTGTTTGTGTTCTAAACTGGTGTGAAATAGATCTGTGTAGATAAACACGGCTTTATATGATCCACAATTATTTAGATATGGTCATGCGCCGGATCAGTGACCTGCTAGGAAGAAGATATTCTGTATGTTTTAATTCGAAAGATCGAAATGAACTCGATTGCGATCCGCCATCTTATTGGTTGTGAGAATAATCTCGACCAATGACGGGCGAGAAACCGATTAAGTTCAGTTCGATCTTTTATATTTCATTTGATTCCTTCACTTCAATTGGCTGGTTTAGCTAGCTTCAATTTATAACATTTTCGAACGCTGACTGAATTGGGTCAAAAATTAATTATTTCGACGGTTGAATACAATAAAATATAAACAATAACCGCACCTTGTATTAATAGATTGTATGACTAACTTAATTTGTATATTTTTCAATCAATTTTTTAAGAAATAAGTATGTTGTTTGTCGCTAAAAAACGTAACGTCTCAATACACAATCTCCTACAAAATTCATAAAAAACCGTCGTTTTTGACAGTTCGAAAAAAGTATTGAATTTGACTAGTTGGCAAGTACTCAATTGCGAGCATATAGATACCTAGTTTATGTATGTATAGTTGTATACATACACTGTTATATATTATGGTTAAGTATAATTGATTAATTCAAGGCATTGCGCAATTGAATTAGATATTATTTTTCTAGTGCTACAATGGTCATATTATTGTTCAGTCGTATTTTATTTTTTAATTAATGGTAGTTGTTTATAGGTACATCTACTAGTACCTAATTGATGTGATGCTTATGATATCCTAGTATTGCCTTGTCCTAATTACATTGCTTTTATTACTATAACTAATTTATATTAATAAAAACAACTCGAGATTTTTATTCACTGAATTTATTGAGGAAAATAAAATTTAAGGTTTTTTATAATCTTGTGAATGAAAAATAGTTTTGAAATGTTATGACAAAACGGCCAAATATGGCTGCGTGGCGAAGGAAACTATAATATAAATGTATTTTATGATCTCAATCTGTGTTTATAGGTATCACAGTGGGTCTGACCTCAATACCACAGGGCATCGCATATGCTATGGTCGCTGGCTTGCCTCCACAGGTAAAAAATATTTGAGTATATTCTTATCATATTCACTATACGGTTGGCGCGGTGGTTGGGCAACTGACTGCCGCGCAAAGTGTCGCGGGTTCGATTCCCACACGGAACAACTCTTTGTGTGATCCACAAATTGTTATTTCGGGTCTGGGTGTCATGTGTATGTGAACTTGTTTGTTTGTAAACGCGCCTATGACACGGGAGAAATTGCTAGTGTGGAGCAATTTAAAAAGAAAAAAAATCAGTGCTAGAGAAATTATACATAATCTTATTGCTTATACATACTTATTTACTTAGTTACCACAATTTTGTAAAACAATATCATCAAACAAACCCATTTTTTCTCCATTCTTTTGAGGCCATCCAATTTTTCTTGTATTCCAGGTGGGCCTCTACTCCAGCATATTCCCCGGCCTCATGTACATGCTGTTCGGAAGCTGCAAGGATGTCACAGTTGGTCCCACCGCTATCCTAGCAGCATTGCTTGCCAAATACGTCGCCAAGTCAGCTGACTTCGCATATCTGGCTGCTTTTCTATCAGGATGCTTTATACTTCTTCTTGGGATACTACAATTAGGTGAGTAGCTTGTTCTGAAAGGTTAAGAAAGTTAGAGAATGGTTTCTGGACTACAAATATCACTAATCTGGGCCTTTAGCCAAACGCCACTTTAGCGCTTCTCTACAGAGAGAGTAGAAATCGAAATGCATAGGGATGACACTGACAAGTGTCAAAATTTACGTCAATTCCATATAATTTGGTTCTCTATTCTACATGTAGACAAGCGCTAAATGGCATTCGGCTACAGAGTCGCGTTATGTTTATCCTTAAACCCGTGTTTACCTCAAAAAGCAACTTTGAACAGAAGATTTCATTGACCTTAATGTGTCGTGTAAACTTTATCGATTTATGAGTACCTGGTATTATGGCCCGGTGCCATGTTACTCTTTCCTTAATACTAATAAAGTAGGCCTTCTGGTTTTAAGGAAATGCCGCATTACTTACTTACTGGTTTTTGTGCAGTATGTGTTGTGCAATTTGCACCTTTATCTCCTCCTAAAAATGAGGATAAATGGACGAGTTTCCTTTGTTATCTTATCACATGGCCCTTGAAGTCAAGAAGGTGCCACCTCGAACACGCACGTGATGACTTGTAAACTAATCCTTGTAAGCAGTTCTACTGCTTTTGACTCAAGTAGTCGTCCTAATAATAACATCGTTATTAAATAAGTTTTAATGGACTTACTATTCCCCAGTTATATTATTTTAATAAATTGTAATTATCGGTAGCCGTTGAACTGTAGGTAAAATTTTGAAATTCGATTTTATTTAATACGATACAACTTCGTTGATGACTTCTTCTATTAAAACACTCAACTTTTTAAACAATTTGGTTTTGTATTTCCGATTTCCTAAACACATAGTACCTACTTGCCTATTCTCCGATACTTGTCTATTCAGTCATATAATAACTATCCTTTACAATTCTATTGTAAACCTTATCACGTGTTAATAAGGTGTACACAAATGGCATAACGTAGTTTATAGCTGTTACATCGTTGAATGAAAACAACAATGCGTACTTAGTACTTGGTTAGAATTACAACTACATATATTCTTTTACATACTTCATGAGTTACAAACATAAAAATGAAACCGTCAATCGAGAATATCGCGTTGCATCGCGTATTCAAATTTCTCCATTTGCATATCTATCGAATGTAAACAACTCCTTCGGCATCTGTCGCCCTGTTACGCAAAGAGAAAGTGCTGTTTATGCTAATGTGTGAAGACACTGAACTTCTTGAGTTCAATGCAATGAATGATTTTTGTTGATGACTGTGAATTGATTGGAGTAATAAAATTAGTACTCTACTGTCTATTTTTTTTTTAATTTGGTCGTGAGAATTAACATAAAATTATTTTTCGTCTTTCTTAGGTCTTTGAGCTTTAAAATACCAGGCAATCAGCACGTCATAGAAGTAAACCCATTGTAAAGACAATATAATGTATCTCTTTACAATAGGTATAGTAGGATCAAATTCATCTTTTTCTAGCTTATACTGGCTGAAGTAGCCTTGAGGTGTTTTAGCACAAATTTTTGTAGAACAACTTTTTTGATTAAGAGCTATTGTACTTATTGGAACTAATTTTATTAATTTAGCCTTGAACTCATTATAGAAGCGAGAATGTAACTGTGCATTCGTGCATGAAATTAAATATAGTTTCAGGAGCAATGCGGCGAAAAGTAATGTAGAAAGAAAGATACAAAATGAAAGGAAATTAGGAAAACTAAAGATTGGTGTCTAGAAGTACCTATAAATATGACAGGATGCATAAATATGGAGAAAGCGTAGAAATAAAATATTGTTACTCGATGGTTAATAAAGTAGTTTTGTTTTACTAACTATAATGATGTTATTTTGTCTGTTTACAGGTTTTCTTCTTGACTTTATATCAAAACCAGTGATTAGTGGGTTCACGACGGCAGCCGCCTTACAGATTAGCGCATCACAGCTCAAGTCTTTGTTTAGGATATCAGGTAAGAGGAAGATAAGATAGGTACTTCCTAACCCGGCACACTTCGTACCGCCTACAAATATTTTTCTCACCTTTTAAACCTTTCCTAGACTTCCACGAACATTTTAAGACCAAAAACAGCCAAATCGGTGCAGCCGTTCTCGAGTTTTAGCGATATTAACGAAGAAAAGATCATTTTTATTATTATTTATAAAGATAGATTACCGTTGACTGCTGGCTCTAGCCTTTTTTTTATACCACGACGGTGGCAAAAAACCACACGGCCCACCTGATGGTAAGCGGTTACCGTGGCCTATGTACGCCTGCAATACTTGGGGCATTACATGCGTCTTGTCGACCCTTAAGAAACCTATTCACTGCCCTCTTGAAGAACCCCATGTTGTAGCCCACTGGGAATACCACGGCAGGGAGTTCATTCCACAATTGTTCTAACAGCACGTCACAGAGACTGGATCTTTAGATCGTCGCGACCGAAGATTGCCAGCCAAGTCACTTTATAATCAATAGAAACTTGAATCAACTCTGCTCGAGATAATAGTCCAATCACTTTACTATTAAGATTCATTAAATAAATTCGTTAAAACGCGTAAATTTTTTGACTTAAAAGGAAATGCCGATTCTCACATTAGCGAAATAGATTCGTTTTAAACTTGATTGGATTGACAATTATAAATCCAAAAATGATTACACATTTGCTATTAATATTTGCCAATTATAAGGAATCTGATTGTTCCATTCTATATGAAACTAATTTAGTAAAACATCACCTGTTATTTAATATGATTGCGTCTTCTAATCAGAATACTATTTGCCATTGCAGGTTCATCAGGCAACACATTCTTCGATGCCCTTATAAACTTCTTTGAAAACATCAAGACAGTACAGTTATGGGACACAGTGTTAGGAATCAGCACCATTATTGCCTTACTCCTACTCAAAGTAAGTGGTGCAATGATATTTCTTCGTCTAATCTTTAACTATTTCGTAAATTAATCTAGATAGGAAAAAAGTTACTTAATTTTCTGGCTAATTTGGCTCGTGTTGATCGAGTTTGAAATGTATTCAAGGTTTTCTGAATTGATTCTTGTCTTCTGAATTTGTCAATAGTAGGTATCAGGGAAAACAGTAAATTGTTTTCTCATGTCCCTTTATACGGGACTTGTATTGAAGAAAATTGGTTGTTACATTTGAAATACTCACATTACATGGAAGGTAATGATAAATGTTTATACCTTTCTGTCTCATATTTTTCAGCGGGCTACGATCAAAGTATCAGACACGGCGACGCCATGTGCCACCCGGATGGCGGCGTGCTGGCTCAATGTAGTGCGTGCACGGAACGCGCTCGTGGTTTTCGCAGCCGCCATACTTGCTTTTGTTCTCAATTTAAAAGGCATTACGCCCTTTGCACTTACAGGTTAGTAACTTCTTGCATGTAATGTACTCCTGGTAGGCTTTGAAGCAATTTGCTTTACATTTACTATTTGTATTTGTAGTTTGTAAGTTTTAAAATAAAAATATTGTTTATAAGTCAAGAAGTCAAAGAAATTGACATTAGTTTCTAATTCTTCTTACCAACCAACACTCTTAATTTGTGAATGTGATGTAGCCCTGGTAGAAATAAATATGGTTGCCGTATTTTCTGTCAGTTAAAATTATTGTGTATTTATAGTTATATGAAAAAGTAATTCACCTTCTAATTCATTTAAATAGTCATAATATTAATATTTGCTGTGTCCTGTAATCTAACTATAAGAATTTTGCAAACTTCTTTGCTTGTTGAGCGCCTGGTAATGTAACACGTCTCTACTCTGAAAATGTCAAGTAATCAAAATGCATTTGAATCTCCACCATTATACTTCGACAACGGAGCAACCATTAACTAATTTTTCACTTTCTTTTCAGGTACAATTCAGGGTGGTCTGCCCAAATTCGGGCCACCTCCATTCAGCACGGTGGTCAATAACCAGACACTTAACTTCGAGGATATGTTGACCGTTTTCGGAGGAGAAGGAATTGTGATGCCACTCGTTGCTATACTGGAGAGCATAGCTATTGCTAAGGCATTTGGTAAGGGCACATGACAGAATTCTTCCAATGTCTATTCTGCGTGATTTATTTATTTTATTTTATTTTAAATTCCATTATGACAGAAGAATTACTTCTATCAATTTCGATTGGTTTTATTTTTCCCTTGTTGCTTTCTTAGCGACGCAATGAGTCAAGTTTTGTCCAGGGATCCCTGTCGAAATATTCTTATTTGTTTGCAGCGGGCAGTACAACAGTGGACGCGACGCAGGAGATGCTGGCCATCGGCATGTGTAACGTGGTGTCGTCCTTCGCGCAGAGCATGCCTTCCACGGGCTCCTTCACTCGCACTGCACTCAACCACGCCAGTGGAGTTGTTACTCCTGCTGGATGCTTTTTCAAAGGTAAAAGAAGTTTCTTCACATTTATTAGACTTTTATTGTACCTAAGAGTACGGGTTTTTAATTCATAATATTTTTATCCCCAGCCATGTTAGTGTTACTAGCTGTGACGCTATTAGCTGATGCCTTCTACTTCATCCCGCGCGCGACGTTGGCCGGTATTATAATCGTCGCCATGTTTTCACTCATGGAAGTCACCATAATTAAACAGTTATGGCGGAATAGTAGTGAGTATTATTTTATTTTGGCTCCTGATGCGATGAGTGCTAGACTATTGTTTAGTCTTGCTCGATTAACCTAATCTAACTATGTATTTTTCTTCAACGTCCTTAACGATGACTAGCTTGATGTTTATGAGATCTTAGTAGTCAGAAGTTCTCTTAAAAATAAATAAAAGTTATAGTAATTTTACAAATTTTTTATGGAATAAGCCGGTAAATAAGCAGGCGGATCACCTGATGGTAAACAATCGGTCGTCGTCCATCAACACCTGGAACAGCAGAAGCGTTACAAGTGCGTTACCGTGCCTTTTGGGGATTAGAAAGAAAGAAAGAAAAACCATTTATTAGGAATTTAAGATTTTTTTAGGGTTTCAGGGATTATACACACACGTAACACAACGCAAGCGTTGTTTTACGTCGGGTTTCTGTAAGGCGGTGGTATAACAACTCCGGTTGAGCCGGCCCATGTGTGCCGAAGCATGGCTGTCCCACATTAAATACCTAGTTTATGCACATTTGATGATTAAAATATGTCTGAAGTGAGTGGTTATAAAGTTAGTTGTATGTTATCCAGAGCTGGAGCTGTGCGTGTACGCGGTGACGGTGGCGTGCGGCGCGGCGGCCGGGCTGGAGTACGGCATCCTGTGCGGGGCCGCCGCCGACGCCGCGCGCGCGCTCGCACGGGCCGCGCGCCCGCCGCTGCGCGGGGCGCCCTTCAAGGTACACGCACTCCAATTGAAGGGAGCTTCAAAGCTAGTAGATCCTAACCATGCTGAGCTAATTTCTACACTTTAGTCACTAGAAGTAGTTGAGACAAGTCACTGCTCCAATATTGAGGACTAAACTAGACGAGAGTCAAATCATTTCTAATACGGTAGTTGACAACTAGTCAAATTCAATAATTATATCGAAACGTCAATAATGATAATGTTAAGAATTTTGTCTGAAATACCTACTTATGACGTCATCATATTTTCGCGTCAAATAGCACACGCACACACACACACGCGAAAATTAAGTATATCGGCAAATCAATGAATGAAAGTGTAACTATTTTTCAATATTTAATTGAACTAAAAAATCAAATTAATTTATTTTTTGACCCAGGAAAGTACCCAATTATACATTGTCGCCACGTCGATTTTGTCAATAAAAATATTTTAATTCAGTTCATTCACGTTTACTTAGAATATGTATTCTAAGTTGTTTACTTACAATGTATTATTGTAAGGTAAGTAAAGATGAAAATAAAGATTACCTGTGATTAGGTGGGCAACCAGGACTGCGTATCTGTCAGCTTGCCCGGCTGCCTGTCGTACGCGAGCGCGGAGCACGTACAACACAAGGTGCGCCGCCTGGTGCCGCCCGCCGCCGCCGTCGTCGTCGTGGACGCGCGGCATCTGTATGCTATGGACTTAGGAGTCGCTGAGGTAAATTAAAAAAAATATTAACATCATCATTATTAGCTTGTTTTCGTCTAATCCTTGTGAAAGACCTTTTTTAATATCTGGTAATAAGGTGTTAGACATTTTATTTTTTTCCTTTCCAGAATTTAGTATCTGTGATAGTAGATCTAGAGAAGGAAGGACACAGGTTCTTACTGTGGAACTTCAGACGGAGCCATCAGCTGTTGATGGAAGACCTCCACACAGGATTTGAGGCTCGCTTCGTGGACGGACCCAGTATTGATCAGCATATTTTAAGTAAGAAAGTGTCTTAATATTTCCCTAAACTTAAAGTATCATTTACTAGGATAACATAAATCAGAAGAGAATTTTTCCAGTTGGCAATGGTCAAGCCGATTTCAAGACTAATATTTCACGACTGTGAAACTACTACGTAATGAAGCTCAGGTAAGTGTGGAGAGTGGTATTAAGTTAATGAATAATAAATTATTTTCTGATGAAAGTATTTTGTTACTTGGGTTATTTAACTCTTTTGTACTCTCCTAAAACTGATTTCTAAATAATTTTCCCATCCTGCATGATCTTCGCCGCTATACTAATTCTCCACACGTACCAGGCTTCTATAAATTACAAGGAGTCTGTTCTTTGCAATACGAGTAGATAATAAATACTCACCTCCTAATGCCTTTCTATGCTATATGGATTTTCTTCTATTTACAGGTTTGGATATCATACGGTAAGATGCCGTTTCTTACACAGCCAAGCTCAGTGAATTTTAAGACTATTAAAAACAAGTTCTATGTTTTTGTAATTTACTATCTCCATTCTCTCAGTTATTGTGATTGTTAGGAAACGTTACCTTTGAGTATTTCCAATGTTTTAGGATATTAAATGTTGATTAAATAACAGTTATCTATCCATAAGATAGAAATGTTCCCGCCAATAACTATTCCATGTTATAGATATTAATTATAACAGATATATAATGTGTTAACAGGTGTAATATAACTGCTATAATAATTATAACAGTTACTTTATAAAAATGTAGTTATACATTCCATTAATTATATAGATTAAAATATGTAATTATATTTACGTAACATGATATCATTTGTAAGTGATATAAAATGTGATATTGGGTAATCGTTATAAATATAGACGCGAAGAATCTGACTTTTTTATTGATATATTTTGTTTTGCTGAAACCTTTTCTATGAAGTCAATTTTTAATATGAATTCTTAATCAATGGTGCTTTATTTTGTAGTAAGATGTGTATTTTGGAGTATCAATGTACTTCGACGTTGTGTTCTTAAAGCTAAGGATACACCAGGGCCTAGGGGACAAAAATATCCTGCGACATTTGTCACCAGCGACGTCGGGTACAGTAGCACGACGGTGCCGGACTTTGGTCGACATGTCTGGCAACATCAACGTCACAAAGAAATGGATAATTATAAAGTTAAATGACTTGTTCTAGTGAAGATATCCTTACTAATATTACAAAACGGAAAGTGAGGTTGTTTGTTTGTTTGTTCCGCTTTCACGCCGTAACTACTAAACCGATTGCTTTGAATTTTTGCAGACGTGAAGTTAGAAGTCTGGATTACATAGAGTGCCCGGATTTATCCCGGAAAAAATTGATATATTCGAGGGAAACGAAATTATTGGTATAGTTGGCGCTGCGTGTATTGGTATATGTCACATAGGCTACTTTTTATTCTTTTGTGACGCGAGCGAAGCCGCGGATAAAAGCTAGTAAGGAAATAATCCTAAAAAAATAAATCAGTTGTAACAAGACAGGTTGCACGTTGTCACCGTATATGTCGGGCGACCTCGGCCGGCTTCGGTCCACATGTTGCCGACACATGTCTTGGGACATTTCCCCTAGTGTATCCTTGGCTTTACTTACCTCATCTTTTGAAAGAGTTTTAGTAAAATTTTATTTTAATACTTTGATAAACATTGTTTTAAAACTGACTTTGAATCCAATTCTTATATTATGATTGTAGTACAATTTGTTAAAGTTTTGTGAATATCTACTTAACTACGTTATTGTGAAGTTTGAATTAAATATTTACATAAGTTGTGTATTTATTATTACTTAAACTAAATAAGATGTTACTCTGCGGACATGGTAATTATGCAGTTTTAAAATCTGGATTTGATCCACTTACGTTGATATATCGTACCGAAAATCCCCAAATTTTGTTCATACAAAAGTTGTCTCTAAACATCGGAAATATGGTCTATAATGCAATTAGTGGAGAGCGATTGATCTGTTAAAATAAACATATCCTTAGTTTTGGGTGATTCATTAAATAGTTAATCTCGATTTAACGCTATATGCAGCAACCTTTTTGAGATCAAGCTGAATCCTAGCCAAACAAATAAAGCCTTAAGTAGTTTTTAGTACAACTACCGTGCAGGATCGATGTCTAGGCCGAGTAATATAATGTACTTCTTTGCATTGAAAAATCTTTATAAGAAAGATATAAATAGGCTGTCTCAGCAAAGATTATGATGTACGAGATTATTTAAGAGGCTGAAAACAACAACATAACGACGTCGATAACTAAAAACAAGTATATAACATAACATACATATAACATCACGCCTTTTATCCCCGAAGGGGTAGGCAGAGGTGCACATTATGCCACTGCACAATATAACACCCACTTTTCACTATTTATGTTATGAGTCCCATGTAATAGGGGGTGAGGGTGGGTCACAATTCCAGACTCCGTGCTAGTAATACTTTGCCCGACCCAGGAATCGAACCCGAGGCCCCTTGCCCTGCAGTCGCACTTGCGAGCTCTCGGCCAACGAGGAAGAAGTAACTACCTAAATGTAGACGTAATACAACTATATTTATATAGAGCGTGTCTGTATCACCGCTATCATCTCGCCTGCTACGGTTTGTAAGCCGTTGTCGCAAGCACTGAGCCGTCAATCCCAACCATTTATTTTAAATCGTAAATACCGAAGCAAGGCTTTCATCTCCATGCTTCGTTTACACTAGTTTCGTTTGGCATACCTAGTTACTTGTACAAGTCATACCTATGTAACCTATGTTATGCATGTGGACTTTAAAATAAGGCTAGCAAATAATTGTAGGTATAGAAGGTTGGAATGATGAATAGTGGATAGGATGTGCCGGGTTTAAGGCAATAGGCTCACTCCCTATTACATGGGATTCATAACATAAGTAGTGAAAAGTGGGTGTTACATTGCACAGTGGCACTAAGTGCCTCAATGTGCACCTCTACCTACCCCTTCGGGGATAAAAAGGCGCGATGTTATGTTATGTTATGCTACTTATTAGTATTTGGTTTCATGATAACATTTACAATTTCAGAAACATCTTTATTTTCTTATATTTCTCTAAGCAAATATTGTTCATTAATAATGTTGGTATTGATAATATAATATATCCATCTCATCATCATCATCATCATCATCAGCCTGTATTCGTCCACTGCTGGACATAGGCCTCTCCTATGGCACGCCACTGAGCTCGGTCTTCAGCTCCTCTCATCCAACCACTGCCAGCCACCTTGCAGATGTCGTCACTCCACCTAGCTGGAGGTCGTCCTACACTGCGTTTGCCCAGACGCGGTCTCCGCTCTAGAACACGTTTACCCCAACGGTTATCGGTTCTTCGACAAATGTGACCGGCCCACTGCCACTTCAGCTTACTGATCCTTTGGGCTATGTCGATAACTTTGGTTCTCTGTCGGATCACTTCGTTTCGGATTCGATCCTTCAAAGAGACTCCGAGCATAGCCCTCTCCATAGCTCGCTGCGCGACCTTAAATTGGTGGACCAGTCGCACTGTCAGTGTCCACGTCTCGGCTCCGTATGCCATTACTGAAAGGACGCACTCGTTGAAGACTTTTGTCTTCAGGCTTTGCGGTATCTGAGACGAGAAGACTTGATTAAGTTTTCTATATGCTGCCCAGCCAAGCTGTATCCTTCTACGGGCCTCCTTTTCGATCCATCTCATAATAATATATCGGACTATTCAGCACTGTTCTAAAACTTCAGTGCACTGAATAACGTAGGTATTTGTACGGCTATCTGTTCTATCAGTTCGTATTGCGCTGGTTTCTGTGCTCCATTCACTTTCTCAATGTAGGAAGCAGTAAACATTGCCCTATCTTTACTGTCTTCTCAACTCGCTCAATAACTGGCATGACAGCTGTACAAGTTGTACAAACGAGGCTTAAAACTAAATCCCAGTTAAAATTCAGCGAGTTAAGCCGGGCTGAGTAATGACCGACGATTTCGATGTGACATCCATAGCTCTGGCCAAATAAATAGACAAATTTTACGCATTACTAATTAGTTGATAATCCTTGTAGACTGGAGCCTTATCATTATCAACATTCTAATTCTTGAATTTAGGTTACACAATTATACATTGTGGTATTATGATGTACTTAATCTGATAACATAACATCATAACGTCACGCCTTTTATCCCCGAAGGGGTAGGCATAGGTGCACATTACGGTACTTAATCTGTCAAACACCAAGCGGTCACCGGTGACCGCGACCTATTGTTCTTTAATTGTGTCTATAAAACCGGTACTCGACGAGTTAATGCCACTGTACAATGTAACACCCACTTTTCACTATTTATGTTATAAGTCCCATGTAATAGGGGGTGAGCCTATTGCCATATACCAGGCACATTTCCAGACTCCGTGCTACTACTGAGGTTTTTAGAAACCCAGTAATACTTTGCCCGACCCGGGAATCGAACCCGAGACTCCTTGCCCGGCAGTTGCTCTTGTAACCACTCGGCCAATGAGGCAGTCAATTTTATCTTACATAGGTACTTATTATATTATATAAAGCTGAAGAGTGTTAGAACGCGTCAATTTTAGGAATTACATATAGGTATACCTACTGGTTCGAATTCAAACATCTTTTTGTGTGTTTTTGATGAAATAAACCGGTAAATGAGCAGACCGATCACCTGATGGTAAGCAATCGGCGTCACCCATGGACTCTCGAAACATCACAAGCGTTGCAAGTGCGTTACCGGCCTTTTGGGGATTAAGAATTTGAGGATTGTTGGGGATTAGGGAGATTGGCGAGGGGATGACAGCTGTACAAGTGCCTCCGGTAACTTCGTTCACTCGACCAGACAACGCAAGCGTTGTTTTACGTCGGTTTTGTACGACGCCGTGGTATGTGGTATCACTCTGGTCGAGCCGGCCCATTCGTGCCGAAGCATGGCTCTCCAGGCTTTCCCACAAGTTAATAAGGAAAAGTCTCATGTCATATGCACTAGAGATGATCAGATCACCACAGGATTATTTCCGTTTAGGGTCAAGGTTATTGCGACAAGAATTCTTTGTACCTACCTAATTCATTTTGTTCCTAAAAATTGACAATGACAACCAAACAGATATCGAT